GTATGATAAAAACAAGATTTGTATAAGATTGAAGAAAATAATTAATTGTTTGTAGTTATAGGAAGCTCGCAGAAGACTGGGGTCAGTCTTGTCATCGAGTACCTTCTAGACGTGTAATACACATAAAAATCAGTTGCATACGTGGCAAATATGTATGTAATACATATATGCCTTAAAATTATTAATGTTACTATCTCCTTTTAGTATTATTTTTATTGATTCCTTTGAAAAGTTACATTTTTTGTTTTATTAGGGTTGTTTTATATTATTTTTAATTTTTAAATTTTAAATTAGAATTTTAAAAAACTCCTTGTAGTTGTTTAACTTGATTGTAGATTTTAACTTTGTTTTTAGGGACTGTTCTTTGTTTAAATTTATTAGCGATTCGTTTCTAGAAATTATTTTGTTAAATAAATAGGGACCACGATGTTTTATTGAAATCTTTGAGAGTTTAGTTTTTTCAAAAGGTATCTTAAAGTTTCCCGTTGCTCTTGTATTGTATTTGTTTACGTTGTTTTCAAAAAAGTGGGCTGTAAAATGTTCTGGAACCAGACTTAGTTTATATTTAAACATGAAAAGTATATTTTGATAAATATTAATTTGAAAAATATTTAAAGCGTTCATTTGCTCCAGTAGGGGTTAGCATGAGTAAGTTTGTTTTTGTTGAACACTAGTTTTGAAGCGTGCTTTTGACGCAGATAAAGCGGTTTTTATTTAGTTATGCGGGTACTGCCCCATGCTATATTGGCATACATAAGATAACTATGTATAAATGAAAAATAAACGAGTATTAGCCTTTTTTGCGTCAAGAAAGATCTTGATTTATAAAGTAGACCTATGTTCTTTGATATTTTTGTATTTATATAGTTGATGTGGGGCTTCCAAGAGATGTGTTCATCAATTAGAACACCTAAAAACTTTGTATTTTGAGCTCTTTCGATGGTTATATTTTCTATAGTAATTGTTGGTAGGAAGCTTTTTAATTTGTTGAGTAGAGTGGAATAGAATATATTTAGTTTTATCTATATTGAGTGATAGTTGGTTTGATTTAAACCATATATTATTTTTTTTTAATTCATTATTTGTTTTTTTAAATAAGTCTTCAATAGTCTTTGATGAGTAAAATAAGTTTGTATCATCGGCAAAAATTATAGTTTTGAAAATATTAGAGGCATTTGGGAGATCGTTTATGTAAATAAGAAACAAAAGAGGAGCAAGAATGGACCCTTGGGGTACACCACATTTTGTTTTCAGTAAATTCGAATTGCTTTTTTATTTATAATAACACACTGGTGTCTGTCATTAAGGCAGTTTTTAAACCAAGTTAAAGCTTTATTTTTAACGCCATAATTTTCCATTTTTGTCAGTAAAATCTCATGGTTGACGGTGTCAAACGCCTTTGACAAATCAATAAAAATTCCTAACGTGAATTTTTTTTGTTTAAATGATTTACTAATCCTATTTGAGAGATCAAGGATTGCATGCTCTGTTGCGTGTCGCTTTTGGAAACCGTATTGACCTTTATTGATAATTTTATTAGTTTTTAAATATTCATTTAATTTATTGTAGATAATTCGCTCAAGAAGTTTTGCGAATACCGAAAGGATTGAAATAGGTCTATAATTGTTTAAAGAGTAAGCTTCTCCTGATTTATAGATTGGTATAATTTTTGAGATTTTAAGCAAATCAGGTACAATACCTGTTGTAGCTGATGAGTTAAATATTTGGTAAATAGGATTACGTATTTCCTCAAAAACATCTATCACTACTTTGCAAGAGATATCATCAATTCCTGGGGACTTGATTTTAAGTGATTTCTTAGCTATCTCAAGTTCGTCTTGGTTTAGTTCGTTGAATTTAAGGAGCAGTGTGTGCCTGTTAAGTAATTTTTAAATGAATTGTTTGGGCACTGAATTTTTGATGCAAGATCAACACCAATATTAGCAAAGTAGCTGTTAAATTCATTAGAAATATCACGCTTATTGTTTGATTCCATTTGATTAATTATTACTCTTGAAGGCATTTTATTAGAATTAGTTATACCTTTACCAATTATTTCCTTCATAATGTCCCATGTCTTTTTTTTGTCTCCATTAAATTTTTGCATTTGGTTGGAGTAATATAATATTTTATGTTTTTTTTTAATTTTTTCAAATAAGTTTTTGTATTGCTTGTAGAGAAATAAGTTCGCTTCGCTTCTATTTTTTAAATGTTTTATGTAAAGTTTTTGTTTTTGTTTTGAGGATTTTCTTATTTCTTTTGTGATCCAAGGACAGTTTAAATATTTCGCTTTTATTTCTTTTTCTTGAATTGGAAAACTCTTATTATATTCTAGCATAAATAAATTAATAAATTTAATGTACGCAGAGTTTGTGTTTCCTGAGTTACATTCTCGGTAGACTTTTTGCCAATTTGTTACCGATAGCAAGTCCTTAAATTTTTGAGTAGATGTTTCATCGATAACTCTTTTATAAAACAAGATTTTTGAATTATCAATTTTTCTGGAATCTAGTGATAAAGAAAAGTAGATTGGAAAATGATCTGAGATGTCTGTTTTTATTATTCCTGATTTTAGAGTAGTATCTTGTATTGAGTTTGTTAATATATTATCAATGGCAGTAATAGATTTGGAAGTTACCCTGATAGGTTTGTTGATAATCGGGAAGATATTAAGCTGAAACATGTCGTCAAAGAAATTTTTAGTAACCGCATGTTCGTTGTACTTTAAGATATTTATGTTTATATCTCCAATTATGAACAGTTTTTTCTGTTCTCTATTTTTTGTTATTAAGTATTTCATATAGTTTGAGAATTTACAGGTATCACCGTCGGGTGGTCTGTAGCACGTAGAAACTAGAAAGTTTTTTGACGCGTTTGTAACTTCCATTGTGAGGACCTCAATATTTCCATCAGAGTTTGAGAGATCATTTCTTAACTTAGTGTTTAAATCATTTTGTATATAAATCACAATTCCTTCTCCTCTTTTGTTAACAGATCTTTTTTTAGAAAATATTTTATAGTTTGGAATTTGGAGGTCAGAGTTTTTTTCTGCTGTTTCGTCGGAGCACCAAGTCTCTGAGAGCAGATCATACTGAAAGTATGTTTGCATTCAAGGAGAAAGTTTTTTAATTTTTCTATATTTATAGGTAAACTTCTGGTATTTATATGTATTGCCGTAAAATTATTTATAGTGGTTTTAAGTTCAACTTTAAAATTTTTAATATCAAAATATACAGAATCAGAGTATTTTTCGTTTAAAAAGCTAAACTCGTCATAGCGATTTCGTGGTAAATGTTTATTGGCAATTTCAAAGATATTAAAACGCAGCCTTTCTAAGTCTATTGTTTCATTAACCATATTGGTTTTTTAGAAATGAAATTTTTTAAAAATTTGCTTGCTAAAAACAGCTGTTTATTTTTTAAATTCTCTGCAATAAATTTTATCAAATTTATTAATGGCGTACTTACCAGCTTTACGAAGTCGTTTCACTTCCTCCCATAATTTCTTACGATGTTCAATCGTTTCTTTCGCGTAGTCTTCGTTTATGTAAATCCCAGTCTCTCGTAATTTTTTGGCGCTGTTCAAAACTTTAGTTTTATCTAAAAAATTCAGTAGTTTGAAGATTATTGTTCTCGGTAGTTTGTCTTCTCTTGCACTTCCAATACGATGGACTCGTTCGATTTCAATTTCTTCAGATATTTTTAGCTTATTTTTAATTATTTCTTTAACCGAGTTTCAACAATCTTCCCAGCTTTCACCTTCTATTTCTTTAATACCATCGACCCTTAAATTGTTTCTGCGTGAGCGGTTCTTTAAGTCCACAGTTTTTTTTACTAAATAATTTATATCGTACCCCAAATTTGCTTTAACTTTTTCTATTTTTTCCGTAACATTTGCTTCTTGAAAGTTTAGGCTCTCTTTAATTTCATGTATATCTTTTTCAATGATAGTATTGTTTGATTTATTTCGTTTAACTTCGTGTTCAAGCTTATCTAGTCGTTCTGCGAGAATTTTTAAGTTTCCACTTATTATTACTGTAAAATTTTTTTTTTGCTCTTTTAATAACTTGCTTGATTCCGATAATATATAAGCTTTTTGTTCTTCAAGCTGCTTGTTATTAACTTTTTGGTGTTTTTTAACGTTAGATTCATTTTTAATTTGTTAGTAAGATAATAAAAAAAAACACGTCCGCTCGCGGTGATGTTCACGGCTTAAAAACATTATTTTCACATCATATAGGACCCATCTAGCATCGAGAACAAATCCCAGCCCGAACCCAATCCCAGCAAGCCCAGCTCAATCCCAGTCAATCCCAGCTAGGACCCAGTTGGGCTGGTTAACTGGGTAGCATTTATTGTAATTCAAAGTATTTTTATTATTAAATATTTGTTTTAGGTGGACGGGGGGGGGGATTCGAACGCTGGGAAATTTCGAATCTTATTATGTGGTATAATGATGCATCTTGTAATGTGGTAAAATATATTTTTATAATAATTTTTATTATCTTATACAATAACATTTAAAATCGCATGACAAAAATTTAATTCTTATTTAGGTTGGAGGGCATTATGGCACACACCCCTTCCTTTGATTCTAAATGTGCGCTACTAGCGTAAAGACAAGAAATTTTTGTAATTAATATTAGATTTTTTTTTTGTATAAAAGTTAACTTTCTTAATAAATCTTAATGCCCCCACGATTCATGGCGGTTTTAGACTTAGTGCGGAAATGATACGATACACTAAGCTACGTCGACGTGTTGTTTGCGTGTTTTGAATTCATTTAAATTGTCATTTTAACACTTTTCGCAGAAATTTTTTTCTACGCAAAGTTGTTTACGCATTTTTTTTAATTAAAAATTTCCCTACTTAATCTTTTTTAAAAAGCAAGATTAAAACATTCTAAATTTAACTCGGTTGTCGTGAAGCGTTCTTTTATTTTATTAATCTGTTAGGTTTATATTTTCGCATAAAAGCAGCATTTTTTTAAAACACATCATTCAAAATACATGGCAAGAGCAAGATATGTACCAAGAAAAATGGCGAGATCGGAAAAAATAGTAATAAGCGATGAAATCGAAACGATAGTAATTCCAGACGACTAAGAATTGGAGTTTCTGCTGGTTGATTTAACAGAGGACGAATTTTTCAAAAAAGTTGATGAAAAAACAAAAGATGAAATTCAAGTTAGTAAAACTGTATAATTTTATATAAAAAAATTATTTTTTTTTACTTTAAAAAAATAATTTTTTATTATTGATTATTTTTTTTTATTTTAGAAAAAAAAGAGTAAATACCACAAAAAAAGAGATCGAGAGCAAAAAAGAGTTCTTTTATTTTATTAATCTGTTAGGATTAAATATTTTTGCATAAAAGCTGCATTTTTTTATAACACATCATTCAAAATACATGGCAAGAACAAGACTTGTACCAAGAAAAATGGCGTGGTAATTTGACAATGACATTCTATTATACTTATAATTACCATTATCTTGGAAATTTGTAATTGTTATTATTTTATTTAAAAATAAAAATTAATTGTTTTAAGTAGCCAACAATTACATTAAAAAATCAGTATTGATTTTTATATATCACATTATGTGACGCCAAGTCACAAAAAATTTTGAGTTTTTAAAAAAAAAAGTATTTCCGCATAAAAAGTATAAAAACTCACAAACTTTAAAATAATATTATTTTTTTTCTATAAAAGCTTTCGCCTTCAAATAAAAAAAATATAAAAGATCTATCTTTGTTAAATAAATATCTATATTAAACGGGCTATAATAATAAAATTTTGTTAAAATATTGCAATGACGTAAAACATACAACTTTAAAATAATTTGCCTAATATTATTTTGCGATTTTGATGTCTGATCTTTAATAATCCCTGTTTTTTTTTTTTTTTTTTTTTTTTTTTTTTATAAGTTGATTTAGGTGCCCCAAGAAATCCTTACGGTCTTTTTTGCTTATTTACTTATTTTACCACCAATAATTGGAGGTAAAACATCTTGATATATAATTATTATAACATTACCTTAATAATTCTATTTATTTACAGATGTAATTCAAAGGGTATGGAGCTTGTATCTGAAGATTTTATGGAAATTACAATTCAGTTTGTTAACAAATTTTATTGTAAAAATGCCCAAGACACATACTTGCAGTCATTGATTGAAAAGAAGGAAATAGAGAGAAGACGGTTTAGATCTAAAGAACCTAAGAAAAAAAAAATTCTTTTATTTATCAGATTAAGATTGAAGGTATGATTAGTAAATTAGGCAAGAAAGCTTTTTGCTGTATGCATGGAATTTCTATGAAACAAGTTAGACGTTTATGCATTTTATAAAAAAAAAAAGAGCAGCCTATTGATCACAGAGGTAAATTTCAGTGATCACAATACATATTTTCTGATGGTTGTGCAGGCCAAAACAGAAATTATGCCATGGTCCGAATACTTTTTTCACTGATAGCTGAACTAGATAGCAATATAAATGAGATACAATATTACATACCAAAAAGAGGTCACTCGTTCTTGCCAAACGATAGAATGTTTGGAACAGCAAAACGACATTTGAAAAAATGATCGGATTAACACACCAACAGAGTATAAACATCTTATAGCTGAAGCAAGCAAAAAATTTAAAATTAGAAGGCTCAAAACTGAAGATATTATTGATGTAAAAAAATGGTGGCCAAAACATTATAAGAAAATTGTACTATCTGTGGATTCCTATGGAAAAGAAGTACCCAAGGACAAAAAACTTACTTTTGGTATTTCTAAAGTCTCACATTTCACATTCTCAAATACCACACCAGGTTTAGTGACAACACGTGAATCCATAGATTGCTTAGTCAGTTATAATTTCCAGCTATTACAAAGGATGGGTACCTTGTCAACCTTACCATTAAGTAGTATTCCTGCATATGTTGGAAAATTGCCTATCAATGAAAAAAATAAATAAGATTTAAAAAATATATATAAAAATATTCCATATTCAATAGAAGAGTACCAAAACTTCTATGCAAAGGTTTTTGCTTCGCCAACAACTTCGGCAAACAATGAATTCCAAGAAACAAGTGATGATTACCTAACAATAATTGTTTTTATGTAATAATAAATCATTATTATTCTGATAACCTTTGGTTTTTTATATACAAAAAATGTATGTCTTTTTCGTTCATTCCGAAAAAGACATAAGTCCATAAATTTAAATTAGAAATATATCTTATATATTATTTTTTTATACCATATAAAACTCTAAAAACTTATGTATGACTTTTATTTATCTACTCTTATCTTTAGTTTATTTAGCACCATAGACTTTTTTTCTAATAAACTTATTTTTGTTGATCCTGAAAAGTTTGAATAAACGGAATTGTGCCCTCTTCGAAATGATGGGTTCAATTGGAAGTTATTATATAATTAAGTTGTGTAGAAGAGTTGTTAGTTACTTTTGCACTCATGCAAAAATACATAGACAATGGTAATTTTAATGATGAATAGTGAGTTATTACACTAGTGGTGGAATAGTTCACTATTCATTATTAAATAAGATTTCAAACTAAATAAGTTTTTTCTTATAAATAGTTGTGTTTTTTTTTTTGCCACGAGTGATAATTGGAAGTATATAATAATAGATTGGTGTATATAATAATAGATTGGTGTATTATTACAAATTATACACAAATAATAAATTTGTATATTATCAGAAGAACCTTGTAATATATTTGTTTTCTAATTTTCAGCAACTTGTTAAGCCATTGCAATTTTATTATAACTTGAAAAACCGCTCGACACAACTTTACTCTAGAACAAGAAGCAACTCTACTCTAAACAAAAGCAACTTTACTCTATATAACATTATGTTTTTGCCGTTTAGTAAGTATTACAGTTTACAAAAATTTACAATTAAGTTAATGGCCGGAGCAAGAAGAAGGCATTAATTTGCCTTATCGCCGAGCACCATGTTACAATTTATAATTTTTTACAAAGTTACTGAAGAATATATAGTATATAAGAAAAATTGAATTAATGTTTACAAAAATTCAAAAAATAAAATAAGATATTGTTTAATACATAATATCATAAATAGACAAAATAAAAGTAAAAATGAATATATATAAATTTATTATGGAATGCTTTTGAAACCATACAGTCCAGAAAAAATCCTGGTCTTGATGACATAGACTCTAAAGTTGTTAAAAATGTTTATGACGTTATTGAGTATCCCCTAATGTATATTTTTAATCTCTCATTAAAAAATGGAGTTTTTCCTGACCGCCTAAAATTAGCACGCGTAGTTCCAGTATTTAAAATCGGAGATGACTCGACTTTATCTAACTATAGACCCATCTCCATACTCCCGTGCTTTTCAAAAATATTGGAGCGCATAATGTATAATAGACTCTTTACATACCTTCAAAATCATAACTTCCTCTACAATGACCAATACGGACTTAAAAAAAGCCACTCAACTGAACATGCTGTAATAAAATTAGTTAACGAAATTTTAAGTGGCTTTGACAAAAACAAACACACCCTTTGAGTATTTATCGACCTTTCAAAGGCTTTTGATACAGTGGATCACGAAATCTTTCTATACAAACTTCATAATTATGGTATACAAAATAAAAATTTTAAATGGTTCAGTTGCTATCTAAAACACCGTAATCAAGCCTTATTTTTCAATAAAACATACACTCCCTTTGAAATCATCACATGTGGTGTTCCCTAGGGGTCTATTCTAGGACCTCTGCTTTTCCTAATCTATATAAATGACATTTTTTTATCTTCCAGTATATTGAACTTTATTATTTTTGCAGATGACACTCATGCTATCTATACCCACTCTGACATTACTACACTTTTTAATACAGTAAATCAGGAACTTGAAGAGTTGAGCGATTGGTTTAAAGGAAACAAATTTTCTGTCAACATTGAGAAAAGTAATTATATCTTTTTCACAAAACCGTACAATTCAGACAAACTACCATTAAAACTTCCAGATATTCTATTAGACAAAGTTAGACTAAATCGAGCGTTCTCAGTTAAATTTCTCGGGGTAATATTAGATGAACATATTAGCTGGAAAGACCACATCAATATATTAAAAAACAAAATATCTAAAAGCATTGGAATTATGCATAAAAACCAGATATATTTTAAATAATGCATGCCTTAAAAGTTTTTATTTTGCATATATACATAGCTATATTAACTACTGCAATATTGCCTGGGCTAGTACCTACCAATCAAATCTAGATTTAATATATAAAAAACAAAAACAAGCGTGTCGTATATTAACAAACGCAAATAAAAATGCCAATTCTAAACATTTAATGAGGGAACTGAGAGTTCTTAACATCTACGAACAAAATATATATTGCATACTTCAGTTTATGTTTAAACTCAAAAATGATCTGGTCCCTGAAGTCTTTCATAACTATTTTCACCTTATTAATCACAAATATCAAGCAAAATACTTTTTCAAGAACTACTATATTCCGAAAACCTCTTCAAGACAATCTAAATTTTCAATATCCAACAGAAGACCCCAATTGTGGAACTCATTTCTAACAAACAAAATAAAAACGATAAACTCATTCCAACATTTTAAATGCGTTGTAAAGCAAGCTACTAGGCCTCAACATTAATGAAACAATCTCTTATTTTTAAAATTTTTCCTTTTTCAATTTAATTTTTTTTTCCTTCACTTTTTCTTGAAATTCTTTTATATTACTTGCTTGTTTATTTAATGAAGTTCATTGTAAAAAAAATAAAAAAAATCACATGTATTAAAAATATTTTATTATATTTGTATTTGGTTTATATTTTATTATATTTTGTCAACGACAAAAATTGGGCAAGATGATAAGACTATTGTCTTCTACTTGCTCCAGTCATATATTTCACGGTAAAATGTTGTAAAAATTTATATTAATAATGACGAAATATACACACATACATATACACATACACACACACACACACACACACATATATATATATATATATATATATATATATATATATATATATATATATATATATATATATATATATATATATATACACATATACATAAACACATACATATATATACATAAACACACATACACATACACACATAAATAAGTACAAATATACACATACATGAGTATAAATATATACACACAAAAAATAAAAAGCGAGAAAATGTGATTTGTGATAATGGTTGTTGTCAATAAATTTTTAACTTTTTTTTTAATGATTACAAGGAACAGCTACCTTGTCTTTATTTATAATTGATATATCTGATTTATTTTAAAAGAAAGACATAATAAAATAAATCAAAATTTGTGTTTAATAAAAACTGTTTTGAATCAGTTTTGAACTGATGTAGAGAAGTTTTCTTTTAGGAAACAATGTTTGGGAATCTTTTCCACAAAAGTGGTCCGCGATTCTGAATTGAATAAGAATTCTGTTTAGAATGAGATTTTGGAATAGCAATGTGGTTTGCTGAAAATCCTTTAGCATATTTATGGTTTAAAATTTTATTTCTTTAAAATAAGTTTCAAAGATTTTTGGGGAAGGTCCATATTTTGTTTTATACATAAACTGTAGAACAAGATGAATATTAAGTTTGAAAATAATCAAGGCAAATAATACGTAAAAAAGGTTCACAAGGAATCTCTCTATCAACTCCAAATATTATTCTAACAACATGTTTTTGTTTGCTATAGCTTAGTTTTTTTAGCTTAATGTGGTTAGTACTTGCCCATATGATGTTGCCGTAAGTTAAGTAACTATATATAAAAGAAAAATATAAATTTTTTAAGGACTTAAAACTTCAAATTGGCCTAACTCTATAGATCATTCCAATGTTTTTTGAGATTTTTTTTTCTATAGAATTTATATGTATTTTCCATGATAAATTTTCATCAAAGTTCACACCTAAAAAATTTACAGATGTTTGTCTTTTAATGTTAGTTTTATTTATTAAGAGATTGGGCAGAATAAGTGGTAAGTCTCTAAACAAAAGCAACTAAAAAGCAATTTTCCTCTAAAAAAGAAGCAAATTTTTTTTTTTTCTTTTTCCGTAACTGTTTATATTACGATAATAAAACTTAAATCTAATTTACTTGACGGTTAAGTAAAAAATTATTTTTATACGCAATATTAAAATATTATATCAACTTTTTTTTTTTTAGATTCAATTCTATTTTTAGGTACGTCTAGAGACGTACCAAACGTACCCTAGATCCGCCCCCGAATGTAACTATTATTTAAACTCATTTTTTTATAGTTTTTTTAGGAGAAACTTATTTTTGTACTTGCATTTAGAAATTTCAATTTTTTGTTTAATAAACATTCTTAGTTTGCATGTCTAATTATTTCAAATTTTTTTTGTAGGCATAGTATGCATTTTTTTGGAAATATTGTTATATGCAGGTGCTGTTTTAAGGATGGACTAATTTAGTGTAAAATCATTAATATTTTTATCTTTTAATTCCCATATATATTTTGACAGCATGGTGTCTTTTGAATACTTTTTATTTTTATAGGATTGCTTATGATTGGCAAAAACGTTTTTTCCATTCCCCTCTGTTATGCTAATATATTGTTTATCAGGTACATTCTTAGAGAAAACAACACATTTATATACCACATTTTTTGATAAACAACATCTACTCATTGGACAGTTTTTTTTTTTGTTTACAGTTACAATTTTATGTAGTTTTTTCATTTAGGATTTCTTTTTTCTTTTACAAAGAATTATTGTGACCTTTTATAATTCTTTCTATATTTTTTGTGCAACTGTAAAAGTTTACTAAACTTTTTTTTTTTTTTTTGGTTCCTTATTACAATATTTATAATACAGATACAAGTAATATAAAAAAGAAAAAAGAAATGGTAACAAGTCAAGATATCGTTAAATAATAAAAATAAAAATAATTATAAAGAACGCGGATACTCAAAGAAGACCATCAGGTCTTGTCACAGAGAAACCGATATTGAACGTTTTTTTGTTATTTATTTATTTTTATTTTTATTTATTTATTTATTTCGTCAGTAAAAAAAAAGAATACAATGCCGTGTAATATAAATAAGATCTACATGACCGGGGTTAAAAGAAGACAATACTTGCCTTATCACT